CGCAACCTCTGCCTCCCAGGTTCAAGCAATTCTTCTGCTTCAGCCTCCCAAGTAGCTGGGATTGCAGGCATGTGCCACCACGCCCGGCTAATTTTGCAGTTTTAGTAGAGACAGGGTTTCTCCATGTTGCTCAGGCTGGTCTCGAACTCCCAACCTCAGGTGATCCACCCACCTCGGCCTCCCAAAGTGCTGGGATTACAGGCATGAGGCACCATGCTCAGCAAAGTAGACTATATTTTCTGATGGAAAAAACAGTGTAGGGATTGAACATCAAGTAAGTACAAATAACATCACAAAAGTAGAGTTAGCTCAGCCTAAAGCTATCATTCCTTCAACAAGTATTTAAGCTCTACTAAATCAAGGCACATACAAATCCCATTCACGAGTGTCTTAAAATCTACTATAAGACTTGAGCACGTCACCAAAACAGAGCTTGAGACAGGAAGAGGCTTTACAATTTTCTTGGATGGGAAGACTCACAGTTGTCTTCTGTAACTATTTAAAAAAGAAGTTTTTAATATAACTTGATACTTAATATAACATGATATCCAAGTTCATCTAAGAGTAGACTAATGAAACTATTTAATGAAGTATTTTTAGAAAGGTATGTGCAGGTGAGAGTCCTGTGCTTCTGTGTGAGCAGAGTATCTTTGGTAGCAGTGGTTAGCTCTGCAAAGTGGAGATGGGGTTAGCAGTCTTCACCACCCATCTTTCTGTCCTTTTTCACCTGAAGATGTGCATATATTCTTGTTCAGAAACAGGCGTAATTAAAAAAAAGAAGAATAGGGCTCAGGAGGGCTTCCCTTCGAAGGCATCAAATATACTATAAACATGGCCACCGGAACACTGCAGAGTAAACTCACCAGTGGAGCAGGAGAAACTACAGTCTTATTTTATACAGGCAATCAATACAAAATGAAAATCCATATAAAATTTTAAGTCAGTGGCAAAAGTATGAAATAGTCAATAAACTTCTTGAAGCAATTTGCTATCCATGTAAACAAAATAAAATGCCTTACTTCACACCAAACCCCTAACTCCCAACATATCCCTAACGTTCCAGCTGGCTGAATTAAAAAGTGATCTGTTCTTTATCTGTATTGTTTAAATATTTTTACACAGAGAACTTAGAATTATATTATTTGTATAATTACCAACAAAAAGGATGAAAGCAAGGAAGGAAAACGCAATCTAGTAAAGTGATTTATAAAATTAGTTTTCCCACAATTTGCTTTCATGAGTAATTAACACTTATGAATACACAAATGCAAACTGAGTGCCAAATGCTTTTCAACAGTGAGAATGCAAATGCTGGCGCTGAAGGAAATACTGTCTGGGGTCAGGCCTGGCGCCAACTGCCAGGCTCCCCCAGCATACGTAATGGTCCTGAAAGCCCAGAGAAGAATACATTCTCCCACCAACACTGCACTTCTAGGTGGGGCTAGGAGAAAAAGGGCGGCACGTTCCAGTTCACATTTAGAAATGAGTAACAAAAACAATTGCGTCCTTCCTGTAGGCCTTGATTTTAGATTGCTTATCACTTAAAGAAGGAAAATTGCGTACCAGTATAGTTCAAGGGGGGCGTGCTTCACAAGACTTTCTCTTGCTGTTAGCACTGAGAATGAGCTACAAACAACATAATGTCCACTGCTTTGCACTACTCAATGTAGTGTCTTGCTTAAACAGAACAAGAGACCGGCTGGGCGCGGTGACTCACGCTTGTAATCCCAGCGCTTTGGAAGGTCGAGGAGGGTGGATCACCTGAGACCAGCCTGGCCAACATGGTGTAATCCCAACTCTACTAAAAATACAAAAAAATTAGCCGGGCTAATGACAGGCGCCTGTAATCCCAGCTACTTGGGAGCCTGAGGCAGGAGAATCTCTTGAACCCGGGAGGCAGAGGTTGTGGTGAGCCGAAATCGCGCCACTGCAGTCCAGCCTGGGTGATCCAGTGAGACTCCGTCTCAAAAAAAAAAAAAGAACAGGAGACCACACTCAGAGCTCACTGCTAAATGAGTCTCCTTCTGGCTTTTTGCACGGCACCAAGTAACCCGAGCCAGGTCGCACAGCTGCCCTACCCTTCAGCGGGGACTCGGGCGAGCTCGGTGTACGCAACTAGGGAGTGCTACCGCGGGAGTTGAGACAGCGGATTCCAAGAGCAGGGTGTGGCGGAATCAGCAGGGACGCGGTCCCGGCGCAACGCACTGCGCAGACGGCGCCGGCGCCCGCACTCAGCTGTCGGGGGGTCTTTCCTCCAGCTCTCCCCTAAACGTCCTCCAGGCGCCGGTCTCTTCTTTCTGTCTTCTTGTTTCCCTCCGCCGAGTCGGCGCCACTGTGAATTTCCGTTTCCGGCGGTGTCCAAGCGGAGCTGCGAAGTCGTAGTCGTGAGCAGGTTCGGTGGTGCGGCGGACTGGGATAGACGGCGGTGGGCTGGGGTAGGCGGCGGTGGGGTCCCTGGCCCTGGGGCTCTGGGAAGATCGCGAGTCGTGCGCTTGGGAAGGTCCTCCCCCGGTCCTCCGACTCATCTTTGCTCCCGAGCATCTGCTGGCGGTGTGCCCCGGGGGTCGTTGGGAGAGTGACGGGATGAATCCCTGCAGAGAGCCCGGACTGGGAGGGAAGATGTCCTGGAGACGTCGTTTCCTGGCGACGTGAGCCGAATCTGTTGACCCCAAATTGTGCTTTTTCCACCAAAAGCAAAAGGGAGAGAAATATTAGTACACAAGTTCGGAACTAAAATAGAGAAGCAACATGATCTCTGAAATCACACAGCTATTCAGTTTCAAAGCGTTCCTGGTTCCCAGCCCTCCTAACTCCCGGCCGGTGTTCCTTGACAATATGATGATATATAAAGACTTTCTGTTTGCGCTCGTGTGTGTGGCTGTGGGAAGTCTCTGACTCACCTCTATGCTCCAGTAGCACCCTGTGCAGCCTTCCAATGTAGCCCTCATTGCATGGCACGGAAGACACTAGTTTGGATTTTCTCTGCCAGTCAGATCATAGCTATATCCATTTACTGGCCCAGTGGCTAGCACATCAGAGACACAAACGTTTATTAAATGGAATTAATACAGGACCTTAATTGAATGAAATGGCACCCTGCTCCGCTTTTTTTCAATTAAGCTGTCAGATTTTATGCAGCCCCATATCCTTAAAAAACTCACTAATTCAGTGATTACCAATTTATTGG